CTTTGAGTGGCGCCACCGTCGTTGTAATCAAACTGTAGTCGTTAGTTTCAAAACATTAAAAAAAAAAATTCTAATGGTGATTGAACCATGAAACTTTTTATGTAGCGTAATTTTAACCTAAATTAACTGGAAATAACCCTAGAACCTAGAGTAAAGTATCCCTTTAACACTAATATACACTATAAGATAAGATAGTGAATTAAACGCTTCATGGCAACTTTCAAACGTTGACAGGTATGCTGCATGTTATGACGTATCATGTTGTGACGTTCATATAGTGCAAATAACTCCATAACATCATAGATATATACAACACATGTTGTATATATCTATGATAACATGTAACTAGACATACGAATAGGTAAGTAGGAAATCATAACACAATCCAGAAATTACCCTGCAGTGCCAACGTCCCTGTTCTCTCGAACATCCCCATCTGACCAGGATTGATTTTCTGGGCCACATCTGTTAATAAAAATATACATTACATATTCAAGTACGGTACTTACGAATTACGTACCACGGAAGTATTTTATTATACATGTAAAACGAATGACCTAAAATGCAGTTATAGAAATTTTATTTCAGAAACTGAAAGCATTTGTAAAAATTGACATAACTAGTTACTATAGCAACTAATGAGGCAATGTCAGAGTGAGGAATTACCCTGAAGTTGCATTCTCCATATTGCCTGGTATTTCATCATCTAACCAACTATGATCTTCTGAGCTGGATCTATAAATATTAATTTATTTCAATTATACTATTTACTCAATACAAACGTAAAAGCTATCACACCCCATGATGCAATAGCTAACCTACCAGGATATATAGAGAAATTAATGATGAGAATATATATTGGTTAATATATATATATTGGTCTATATTAACCAAAGACATTATAGTCAACTCTCCAAATTTCAATCGCTCTCATGACCGAATCTCAAGTTAGTGGGCGATTTTTAGGTCCCATCATTTTTCTTTTTTTTGCTTTTATAAAATACCTTCTGAAAAACTGAATCTCCCATAACAGACTTCCGAATGTATTTCACTGTCCAGAGCTATTAATTTTACGGTCAAAAACCGAACTTACAACGATCAAATCTCCCCAACATCGAAAGAATTCCAGTGTGAAATTTTGAGATAAATTGCTGATTGGACATCGGAGTAAGAAGTAATTATCAACATCAACAAATATGAGTAAGCAGGGCAACCACTGTGAGAAAAGCCAGACAGCAGTGGATAGGAAAAGGTAACCATTGAGACTAGAAATCAATAATCCAGGGTCCTACAACTCAACTGATAAGTGACACCTTCCAAGTTTAAACTTGGATAACTTTTTGAAACGTTCATTTCCATTTTTATAAGGTTATGCAGTTGAATTGTTTTAGTATTTCAATGTAAATTTTGAATGAAAGTGATTACTGTTTACTGATTTTATTGTTGTTTCATTTACAAAATTTCTGTCAACAACTCAATGTCTTTGTTTTGACCCATTCAATAATTAAAAGTCTTGCCAAATAATTGATGGACTGGTTAAAAAAACCGCCTAACAGAGAAAATGAAACCTTTCTTTGTTTTTTACCCATAAAACGACATCACTCAACTTAAAGATACCTAAACATATACGAAGGATAGGATAAATTACCCAGTTTCACCATCCTCTCTATTCTCAGGTACTGCAACATCTGACCACCAGCGTTCATCCGTGTTGGACCTATGAAAATAAATCACATTAATCTTTGACATTTGCTGACGTTTCTTAGGTAGTATCTACAGCTCAGACAATATATAATACATAATAGCAGTAAAAGCACACTCATCTCGTGGTATCTACAAAATAAAAATAACAAGTGCCGCATAGCGACAGTGTTCATCTGAGGTCTGCTGCTCTACTGTACTGCCCTTCGCTACGGCACAGGGCTATAGGACATTTCACATATTTAGGTTTACCCTATGGTGCCGCGAAGGGCTGTACAGAAAGAGCCAAACAGATAAGGTAGAGATAAATGACGGTGTCACGAGAGCTCATATCTCATAGCTCAGCTGTGAGTAATACATTCAGTGAACAAATCTGCATTGCATAAACAGGACTTTGGCTGGGTGCTATTAAATATACAGACTGCTTTAGAAAATAATATGATTTAAGGAGCGTAAACCTTGTTCAACAAACTTTTGCCTTTGCAATTGCAACTGTGCAAATGTAGCCTTTCACATCCACACAGGCATGGGCTCTAATAGCAAAAGCAGTTCAGTCCTTTGTTAACAGTCAACAAATCAATGGTTAACCCTCCTCTTAAGGGTCAAAAGATCACCGGACAGCTACTCTTCACACATCAGCAAAGAGCACATTTCATGGTCCTTTCAATAAAGCCATAAAAATAGTAGGTCACTGCTGAAACAAAAAAGTTTTTCACTCGGTCTGTCAGACCATATCGTCAGCAAATGTCTAAAATCTGCCCTTTGACTCACTGACCTTTGACCTGTGACCTCCAATTTTAGCACAGTGATGGCTTTTCCCACCATGACGCTATATATTGATTATCAAGAGCATAGGTCAAGCCATTTAGATTTGTACCACAATTCCGCATTTCCTCCCTATTTCCTCCCTCTATATATCCGTTAAGGGGGGAATATTCCCCCTTCCTTTAAAGATCCTAACCTTTGCCCCTTGACCCCCAGATTCGAGATCCCAATGTGTTTTTGGATTACCCTCCTACGTCCCAAATTTCGAAACCGTACGTCAAGCCGTTTAGATTTGTGCCCAACTGTTGACGGACGGACGCTCATGCCATTGTACAAGCTGTCAGATGAGCTAAAATGATGGTTCTTAGAGTATTACAGATATAAATATCTAGAGTTAGTTTCATAATTTTTAATTTTTTTTTAGTAAGCTTTTTATTCAATGACCATCTTACTCATGTATGAACTTTCACTTGGTGCTTTACCACTACGAATCTTTAGTGTGTTGATTCCATAACTCAAGGAAACTATTATGTAAAGGAATAGTGCACTCAACGTACAGATATCCATACATACACATAGGATAGGATAGGGAGTTAGTTACCCTGTGACAGCATCTGGTCTATTCTCAGCTACCCCACCATCTGACCACCAGTGGTCATCTGTGTTGGACCTATGAAAGTAAACGGCATTTAGCTTTCACATTTGCTGACATTTCTCTAGTATTTGCACACAATTAAATAAAAAGCAGCTCATAAACTACTGATCATGGGTAATGTGAAAAGTGTGCAGTGAAAAAAACTTTTAAAAACGATCATTACTTGGAATTAAAATACAAAATATGGATAAAAAGATGGTTCTTATGAGTAATACAGACAGAAATACTTGTTTTCATAATTTTTACAATTTTTTTTGTAGAATATGCATCACCTATAACTAGTAAGTTTTGATGGGGTTTTTAGTTACCATCTCACTAATGTATGTACTTTGTCCTTTGCCTCCAAGATTTTTTTTAGCGTTTTGGCTCCATAACTCGAGGGTTCTGCTTGCTTGATGCCTGCAGGCAAACCACTAATGATAACCTTCCCTTCTCGCATAGCTTTATATGGGAAACGCTTTGTTGTATTTGTCACTTCCTCTGTAAAATTAAAAGTTAAAAGACGAGTAAAGTCTAACTTTTAAAACTTGACTATAGGTTCAAGCAGAAGGTACTAAACTTCAAGTAATTTACCAATTACTTTAATAGCAAAGCTACTGCGTTTAAGTTACTTACTTCTTTAGTTCTGTTCTAATATATTAATAATAGTTGTGAGATATAAGATAATGCTCACGATATCTTTGGTTAAATAGATGTTGCACTTGACTACGGAGATCTGGCTTGTCTTTGTTCGACTCAATTTGGCCGTTGAGTATAGTATCATTTGTACCTGCTATACATGGGTTTTTAAAGGATTAACTCTTATTAATTAACCATTAAACCTCCTCATCACTGACAAAAACATCATATTCATCAGGCATAGTCCGCACATTTTTTACATACTCCGACTATAGAAATATTTCATATCAATGTTGGCCGATTTTCAAGTTACGGATATATTAAAAGTAAAGAAAGATACGAACCATTCTCGGAAACTGCTACTTGAATGCTATAATAGCCACGATAGATGCCTATATACTGCTATACTAGGTACGCCAATATTTATTTACATGACGACAGGGATAACTGCCACACTATTGCCACAGAGACAAAATTCAACTTACACATGTAACTGCGAAATTCTGATCCTTTGGCTATCAGAAAATTCTCAATGTATGAATTTCCGACAGTGAATGACATGCCTTTATTGTCTAGACCAACAACTCCAGCACAGCCTCCATAGATTTCCAGCTGTGAACACTGTTACAAACATACCAACACTCAGATTATGAAAACAAACATGAACTGTTATGCATTTTAGGCGTCAGGATTGCTATTATACTGATATAACATTTAAATATGAGCAACAAAACAAATACTTCAAATATTATATTCATAGCATGGCTAACACGTGCCCGGCATACATGCATGGATTCTTGCACATACACGCACACATGCACGCACACAGGAATGCACGCACGCATGCACGCAGGAATGCACGCGCACACACACACGCACGCACACGAGTCTGCACGTCAAACGTTAGAGCAATGTGGCTAACTGTCAGACACTCACGACAATTTGTCACAACCATATTATCAGAATATAAATGATTAAAATTTTAATAACAGTTAACTTTAATTACCAAGTATCTAAGTTTCTTGCGAATGCCACGTATTGCGTGAGAGATATCATGTTCAGTAAGGTCACAGACGGATTTCGGCTCGGCAGTCTTCTCTTGGTAATAGCTTCTCTGTTCATTAGAGAGCTCACGCCATTGTCTTGCACATTCTTGGAAATTTCCTCTTTTTCCTAAAGTAACTAATAATGTAAATGACTTTAGTGGAAATTGAGATAGAAGAGAAATTTAGTGATGTAATTGACACATGTATTCCAATAATTAGTATAGATAAGCGAATAAAACCCTGAAAGACTCGAATTAAAAGGAACTTTTGGACAATTAATTTCAGAGCTACAAGCCTTGCTCAGGTGATCTCTACTAAAACAGATTTGATTTTTCATATTAAAGCCGCACAATGCGCATCCAAACGCTAATTTCTCCAGTACTAGACTAGCAAATACTTCGTGTCATGCATAATCACACTACCTTATGACAAAATAAACTCTAGTTCCTCCCATTTCACGGCGCGTTATTACCCATTCTTATAAAAGGTA